GAAACAACAATCAAGATGAAAGCTACGTACCTTCAAGATTGATAGAGTTGACAATCGACACGAGCTTACAACCATCCTCAGCTTTCACTCAATACAATTTTCGAAGTAAAAACATGATACCTCGTACACATTCAAACCAAAGGAAGGCTAGCCAACAAATCCAAGAAGCCACACTCACGACAGTAGGACCACAAAAGACAGAAACACAGGTTCATGATGACAGTATTTACAAAGAAATTGAGGTATTGTGACAACATCTGGCAAAAATAGAGGTAGGCAGGCAGAGGTATGCAGAACCAGCACACACAGCTTCAGTAGAAAAAGCCTTTATAGACGACATCATTAGGGAACCTGTGCCATCAAACTTCAAAACTCCGCAGCTAGCCGAGTATGATGGAACCTAAGACCCAGTGGAGCACGTGCAAGGATATAGAATGGCAATGATGGTATATGGAACCTCGAATGCTCTATTATGCAAGCAATTCCTAGCGACTTTCAAGAAAGCTGCGCAGGCTTGGTTCGCAACATTACCAGAAAAATCTATCCAGACCTTTGATCAATTTGCGAATATGTTCATCAATCATTTCACGGCCAGCAGAGCTCCTCGAAAGACCAACCATCATCTCTTAACAATTAAACAAAAAACAGGAGAGTCACTAAGAGCCTACATAACAAGATTTCACAACGAAGCTGTGCAAGTAGAAAAATTGGACCAAAGCGTGGCAATGCATGCTTTGATGGATGGACTTAAAGACTCAAGTTTCTATAGATCTCTAAACAAGCGAGAACCCACCAGCCTTAATGATCTCTTAAGAAGGGCGAAAGGATACATCAGAGCAGAAGAAAGGGCGGCAATAAAAGAAGCACAAGAAACATCAAATTCAGAAGAAGGAAGAAAGCGAAAAATAGAAAAAGATATAGATAATAAAAGTACCAAAGACAGAAAACAGTCAAGATACAACTTAAGAGATAGACACCCTTGGACACAGAATTTGTGGGATATACAACGCTCACACCTTTAAACACCAGCAGGATAGAGGTCTTCAACGTAGCAAAGAAAACAGAGAAGCTGCAATGGCCGGCAAAATGGCGAGTAACCCAACTAGAAGAGATCAAACACGATTATGCGCCTTTCATGGAGAACATGGACATGATACAGAGGAATGTAGACAACTGAAAATAGAAATTGAGAGGTTAATAAGATGAGGAGCACTCCGGCAATTCGTTAAAACAAACGATGGTAGCAGGAATAGGAAAGATCAACACAAAAAGCTTGGAGAAAAAAAGAAAGAAAAAGAACAGCCATTAGAAGTTGTGGGGACCATTAACATCGTAAGCTTACCGTTTGAAGTACGCAGCAAAGAAAGAGCCTCGCTAGTAACACTGGAAGCAAAGAATTCTTTAAGAAAAAGTGAGGTAATCAGCTTCACAGAAAAAGACCTGCAACAAAGGGAAGTGTATCCTCATCAACCCTTAATGATACAAGTGATAGTTGAAGATAGAAACCTCTGGCAAGGAAAAATATTAAAAAGAATATTAGTAGACACAGGGAGTTGCAGAGATATACTTACACATGAAGTTTTCAAAAAGTTGGGATTCTCAGTACAACTTATGAGACCCTGCGAATTCCCGTTAGTAGGACTGTCTGGAAGGGAGGTGCCAGTAGTGGGAATCATCACAATACCCATCCATGTTGGCAATACCGCTCAAAAAGCTGTGGTAACTTTGGATTGCTTTGTCATAGACATACCATGCTCTTTTAACGCAATCTTAGGAAGACCAGGATTAAATGCATTACAAGCAGTAATCTCCACAAGCCATATGATGATCAAATTTCCTACGCCAAAAGGTATTGGAGTAGCAAGAGGAAGATTTGCAGAAAATCAGGAAACTGTCACAGCACAGGTCTCTGAACAAACAGAAATCCGGAAACTATGGCCCAAGTCCCGAACTTGGGATCTAATTGCAATAGGTGATATCGGGAGAAGAAGAGCATTGACAGTAGATACAATGGATGCACTAGAAGGTATAAACGAACAACAAGTAGAGCCCATTGATCGCACCAAATCCGTGGTACTCACCTAAAAAAATCCAGACAAAACAACAAGCGTAGGAGCAGATATGGATCCAGAATTTATCGCAAAACTAGAAGAATGCTTAAGAAGGCATGAAAGTATATTTGCAGGAAGCGTAGCTGACATTCCTGGAATAGACCTTGAAGTCGCATGCCATAGGCTCGAGGTACCCCCATAAGCTGTGCTAGTCAGGCAAAAGATGAGACAATTTGGAGCCGAAAGAACCGTAGCTATAAAGGAAGAAATAGAGAAATTAAAAGAAGCAGGATTTATAAAAGAAATAAACTTATGTGAGTGGTTATCTAACGTCGTCATGGTAAAAAGAGCAAATGGAAAATGGCGCATGTGCATTGATTTCACTGACCTTAATAAGGTGTGCCCCAAGGACAACTATGCATTACCTAACATAGATGAATTAGTGGACAACTCCTCCGGATATGAAGTACTCAGTTTTTGTGACGCCTATTCAGGATACAACCAAATCCCACTCGCAGAAGAGGATCAAGACAAAACAGCTTTCATCGCGGTAGGAGAAACATATTGCTACATAATGATGCCATTTGGCCTAAAAAACGCAGGAGCAACATACTAGCGTTTTGCAAACAAAATCTTTGTGTTGTTGAAAGGAAAGTGCGTAGAAGTATATGTTGATGACCTAATAATAAAAAGCAGAAGTCTAGATCAGCATCTTGAGGACTTAGAGCAAGTTTTCAGCATACTACAGGAATACGACATGAAATTAAACCCTCTAAAATGTACGTTTGGGGGAAAGGCTGGAAAATTCTTAGGCTTCATGCTAACCAGCAGAGCTATCGAAGCAAATCTAGAAAAGGTGCATGCAATAATAGAAATGAAACCCCTAGCTTCAATAAAAGAAGTGCAGCACATTATGGGAAAAATTGTGGCATTAGGAAGATTTTTGTCAAAATCTGCAGAAAGGTGCTTGCCCATCTTTAAAATCCTGCGAGGAAAGAAAAACTTTGAATGGACGCGAGACTGCTATAAAGCTTTTGAACAATTGAAAGCATACCTGGCATCTGCACCCTTGATTAGCAAACCTAGCCCCAGAGAGACATTATTCCTGTACATAGCGGCAACAACAGAAGCAGTTAGTGCAGCTTTAATCAGGCAAGAACAAAAAAGGCAAAGACCTGTGTACTTCGTAAGCAAAGTATTGCAAGAACTAGAAAAAAGGTACGCACCTTTAGAGAAACTAGCATATGCAGTAATCATAGCAGCCAGAAGACTGAGATATTACTTTCTGGGGCACAAGATTACAGTCCTCACCAATTATCCATTGAGACATGTATTACACAAACCAGACTTGGCAGGAAGGCTGGTAAAATGGAGCATTGAGCTTACAGAATTTGATGTGGAATTCCATCCACGAAAAGCTACAAAAGCTCAGATTTTGGCGGACTTCATAATAAAACTGAGTAAGGAAGAAAAAGCTGCGCTTGACACACCTTTACCAACACCCCTAGCAAAACGACAATCATCAGAAATAGAAGAAGAGCAAGCAAGGGTAATTCCACCAGATCTTTGCTGGGTCCTCCATGTTGATGGATCATCAAGTGAGAATGGGAGTGGCGCAGGAATCATACTGACATCACCAAAAGGAGAAACCTTTGAATACGCATTGAAGTTTACATTTGAGGCATCCAACAATAGAGCAGAGTACAAGGCTCTGCTAGGAGGACTTTGGTTAGCAAAAGCTGTGAATGCAGAATACATAAAAATATTTAGTGATTCACAGTTAGTAGTAAACCAAGTAAAAGGAGATTTTAACGCTCAGGAAACAGTAATGACAAAATACCTGGAAAAAGCTGCGCAACTCCTTAAACCGTTCAAAGGATACGAAATGCACCATATAAAAAGAACTGAAAATTCAAAAGCCGATGCGTTGGCTAGATTAGCAAGTTCAGGAGTCACAGAATCGGGAAAAGAGATATACGTTGAGGAACTGAGCTCCCCCTCAATATCTGAAGAAGAAATCCTGGAAATAGAAGAAGAAGAAGAAGAAACCTGGATGAATCCAATCAAAAGATACCTCTCTAATGGAGATTTACCTGAAGACAAGAAAGAAGCACAGAAATTGAAAAGAAAAGCAGCGTGGTATACAATCCTTGGTGACCATCTTTATCGAAGATCATACACACAGTCATGGCTCAGATGTCTAACACCCAACGAGGCAAGAATCGTAATGGAAGAAATTCACGAAGGAGAATGTTCCAACCACATAGGAGTAGAATCGCTATCATACAAAATCCTTTGCCAAGGATATTTTTGGCCAACCATGAAGATGGATACAAGGGAATACGTCAGGAGATGTGACAAATGCCAAAGGTTCGCTTGAATACAACACCAACCTTCAAATCCTCTGCATATGGTAACAGCTCCATGGCCCTTTGCAAAATGGGGGATGGACATCCTTGGGCGTTTCCTAGAAGCAAAAGGAAAAAAGAAGTACCTTATAGTTGCAATAGACTACTTCACGAAATGGGTGGAAGCCGAGGCAGTGGCTAGAATAACAGAATAGAAAATAGAAGAGTTTGTAAAGATATGCATCATATGCAGGTTTGGAACACCAAAAATCCTGGTCATGGACAATGGGACCTAGTTTGCAAGTGAATCTTTCAAAGAATTCTGTCAAGCATAGAATCTGGAAAGATGATTCACAATCAAAGCTCAGCTAGAAAACGAAGGAAAAACACCAGAGCAAATTGAGCAGAGATTTGCTTCAGTAGCTTACCCAGAATCAAATGGACAGGCAGAAGCTGCCAACAGAATCATATTAGATAGCCTGAAAAAGAAGGTAGGAAAGGCAAAGGGCGCATGGACAGAAGAACTACCGTACACATTATGGGCCTACAGAACCATGTACCACACATCCACCGATGAGACCCCATTCAATTTAACATACGGAACAGAAGCAATGATTCTAGTAGAAACCAAAATTTCAACGCATAGAACCAGCCATTACAACGAACACAAAAACAGAGAGACTTTAAGAGCCAACCTGGATTTACTAGAAGAAGTTAGGGACTTATCGCAAATACGAATGGCAAGTTACCATAGAAAAGCAGAAAAATATTACAAAAACCTATGCAAAGGAGATTGGGTACTAAGAAAAGCAGAGGTCTCAGAAAGAAATCCCCGAGAAGGAAAGCTACGCTTAAGCTGGGAAGGACCATACCTCATCAAGGAAGATTTAGGCAACAGAGCCTTCAAGTTGATATGCCCCAATGGAGCAATAATCCCACGGACCTGGAATGCTGCGCACCTTAAGAAATACTACCAGTAAGCAAAGGAAAGTAATCTTGTAAAGTACTCCCCATCAATATTGCGACTTTTATCTAAATAAAATGAGAAATTTAGCAAAATCCAAATAAAACAAAAATGTGCTTAGACAAACAATAAAGTTGCGAACAAGTTTGGATGTGCATAAATATCTAAGCAAAAGTTACGCAAGCGAAAAAGAAGCTGTGAGCAAGTTTGGGTGTACATTAAATACCCAAGCAGAAGTTACACAGACAAACAATAAAGCTGCGAGCAAGTTTGGATGTACATTAAATACTCAAGCAGAAGTTACACAGACAAACAATAAAGCTGCGAGCAAATTTGGATGTACATAAATATCCAAGCAAAAGTTATACAAGCGAAAAAGAAGCTGTGAGCAAGTTTAGGTGTACATTAAATACCCAAGCAGAAGTTACACAGACAAACAATAAAGCTGCGAGCAAGTTTGGATGTACATAAATATCCAAGCAAAAGTTACGCAAGCGAAAAAGAAGTTGTGAGCAAGTTTGGGTGTACATTAAATACCCAAGCAGAAGTTACACAAACAAACAATAAAGCTACGCGCAAATTTGGATGTACACAAATATCCAAGCAAAAGTTACACAAGAAACAAGCCATGAGCAAACTTGGGTGTACATAAATACCCAAATAAAAGCCACGCAAAATGCACCACAAAGGTTAAGACAAATCTTAGAAAATAAGAAAACATATTTTCCATATATATAGTCTTGATAAAAAGCACAAAGCAAGGCAAGAAGAAAACCACAAGTCCACAAACAAATAGAAAGGTATAATATCCACAGCTCTTAGGCTCGCTACACAGGCAGAGAGGGGGAGGCACCCTGTGAAACCTCCGCATCAACAGAGCTACCCTTGCTACACATAGCTGTGGCAGAATCTCCCACATCCCAAGAGTTACCAGTACCTTCAGATGCCTGCCTAGGAGAATCATCTAGAAAAACAGCACTAGGACCTCGGTCATAAGTTCTCTTCAAATCCGGATTAGCATGAATCAAGGCAGCAACGTCCATATCCTCAAACTCAGCAAGACGGTCAGACACAATTAGCCCACGACGAGGAAGCAGCATCTTAATAAGCTTGATTGCAAGATTAAAATAACCCAAACTGCTAGAAAGAGCGAAGGCTCTACCTTCTAGAGACTCCTTAAAAGACTGAACGATGGAAGAAGACAAAGCTTGTAGAGAGGAAACCTGCACCTTCAGATTCGAGACGAACCTCTCCAAAGTAGAATTCGCAGAAGAAAGATCACCCAACTGCCGTTGCAAAGCCAAAACAGAGGACTCCAAAGACGCTTTTTCAGCAACAGCAAAAGAAGAGCAAAGTTCTTTCTCTTTCTTTAACAAATCATAACATTCTTGGAGCATAGTTAGCTCTTTCTTCAACCTCTCAACCTCAATAGAATTAGCTCCCAATGCTGTTTTCTCAAAATGAAGTTGGCGGCACAAGTTCAATAGATCTTTACTCCTCTTCCGCATCTCAGACAAATTAGCAGCAGCACAATAGGAGGAATCTTCCTTATCTAGGAGAATTTCCTTCATATGCTATAGTATAGCACAAACCTAAAACACAAGAGCAAAGAAAGACATTAAAAATAAAACAGCAAAAATCAACCACAAAAAAAGAAGGAAAAACACATACACTAGCAGAATGATGAACGGCTATGTCATGAAGGGCCTCCAAAGGAAAATTTGAAAGCAATTTTTTGTCACTAGCCAACAGCATGGATTTAGAAGATTCACGGGCAATGGAACTATGCCCAATAATGGAAGGACCCTCTAAGCAGACATCATAACCTACACAAGAAGGAAGGAACAATAAACCAACAGAGAGAAGAAATTAATATGAGGGCAATAAAGAAAAAGACATACCGGGACGGACGACATCTTTCAAAGGCAACCTCGTCAGAGGTTTAGAAAAACTTTTCCCAGCAATAAAATCCATAAAAGAAGAAATCAAGAACCTTCCCTCTGAACAGAACTGTTGCAACTCATCATCAGGGAAAACAAAGGAAGCAAGAACCTCCTCATCAACCTCAATAACACAACCCTCCGCCACACCCTTATCAGAACCACTCGCGGAAGCTACTTTAAAAGAAGCACTTTTCAATCTCTTAGACCTCCTCACAACTAAAGGCGCCCTTTGAGAAATAGCCCCCTTAGACTTACCAGCAGCCTTCTCAACTTTCTCAGCCAATACTTTCTCGGACTTCACAGCTTTATCAACCTTATCAAGCTTTTCAATCTTGGCAGAACGACTCCAAATAGCTAAGGTATTTATGCCACCTGAAACATACAAAAGAAATGTAACTAGAAGAAAAAAAAAAGAGAAGAAAATATCAAGGAAAGCCAAGCAGAAAGAAGAAAGAATACCAGCAGAACCAAGAAGAGAGCTAGGAATAGCAGCCGGACTCCCTTCACCAGTCTTCCGTTTTAAGGAACGTTCAGGCTTCGGAGAGGCCTTAAAACCAGAAGGAACAAAAGGAACAGGAAAAGCAGAGTAAGAGTCACAGGAACCAAGAATCCAGACACCCGCCTCAATCAAATTTTCACGAACAATCAACTCTGCAATACTCACAAATGGTTCGGTAACAAACTTATGGACAGCTTTATAATCATCTACCGAAAGCAAAACCTTAGCAATAGTAGTATGAGGGACCCGCCAGAGAGAAGGAAAATCAACATCCTTGGGGGCACTTAGAAAGAAAAACCTCTTATGCCAATTTTTGGAATCATAACCAGGCAAGGGGTCCACAAAAACAGTATTACCCCAGCGACGTTTTTTATCATCCACACCTTGAAACTCTAACACTCTACGCGAAAAATAATACCAACTACCAGTGGGCTCAGCAGTTTTTAAGTGAAAAAAGAAACAAAAAAGCTCACGGGTAGGTGTAATCCTGAGAAGGAAACATCTCACAATAAAAGCAACAATATAAGCAATAGCACGAGGAGTCAATTGGGGAAGGCCAATGGAGAATTCATCACAAATCTCAAGAAAAAAAGGATGCAAAGGAAAACGCAACCCACATGCAAATTGGTCCTTGTATACGCACATATCATGAGGAAGGCATTGAAATGTCGCGCGGCCCACCGAATGTTGAGGAAGGAAAACCCGTGGATCTATCAAGTTCTTTCTATAAATCTCCCTAATCTCATCCACATCACAACTACTAGTAACCCAAGACACTTTATCAAGATCACAGAACACCTTTGTCGATCCTAGAGGAAGAACAACCTTTCCACCCTTTGAAGAAAAAACCAAAGGAACCTCTGTGGGAATGGAAAGAACCACAGGATCCCTCTCCACATGGAGTAAATCACCCTTCACAACAAACTTCCCATCCGTATTAAGGGGAAGGCAGAAAATATCAAAGAACTCCAGCTCAGAAGAAGAGGGAAGGACACCCACGTCAGCAACGGAAGAGCCACCAGAGGCAGAGACCGGAACAGAGGATAGAACAAAGCCGGAAGCAATGACCAGAACAGAGCCATAAGCCATGATTGGATTAGAGCCAGAAGCCACGACCGAAACAAAACTAGAAGCAATGACCAGAATGGAGCCGGTAGCAGAAGTCGAAATAGAACTGGAAGCAGAGGGACTAACGACCATCACAAGATAACCGGCCAAGATCAAGCCACAAGATCAAAGAAATTTTCCTCAAACAGAAGAAAACAAAGAAGAAAAGGAAGAATCAAGAGAAAACAAAAAGAAATCAAGAGGAAGTCAAACAAAAAGGAAAGGAAGAATCGGGAAACTCAAAAGAAAACCCCATCTAGCCAAAAAGGATAAATTGCATAAAATCCCAAGAAAATAGGGGTTTGAACCAAAAGGGGGCGGTCGTACCAAATAGCCATACAATGGGGGCCACGTACATAAAGTTGCTGCCAAAAAGTAGAAAAATTCGGGAAATGCAGTCGTAAAAATATGGAAAGATCAAGAAAGGACCTGAACAAATCTATAGAGTAATTAAATTCAAACAGAAACTTTTAATAAGGAAACTGCGCCAGGAATCACAAAGGAAAAACTTGCGCTGCACTCTTTTTTCCATAAACTAGATTTTTGTCCCACAGGGTTTTTTCTAGTTAAGGTTTTTAACGAGGCAATCATGGTTGAAAAATGGGAACCAGCGCAGAATTCAAAACCAAGATCAGCAGAGCAATGAAAAAGACAGACAACCGTTGTAGTTTTCGCTATCCTCAAAACTTCTTTATTGGGGGGCAAATGTTATACCATAAAACACAGTCCTAAGTAGGACTCATGGAGATAATCTAGAGATAGTCCTATCAAAGTAAGGATAGAATAAATCCAGATAGGATAAGAATACTCAAACACCAATTGAATAAAATTGTATTCCTAGAATAACTGTAATTAGGAACCCTTTAAATACCCCTAGGATCAACCCAAGGAGGCAGATTATTTTTCCATCATCATTCTCTCTCTATTGTAAACTCTCTCTATCAACAAAGATCTTGGTTCCACACCATCTATTCTATTTTTTTATTGTTAACACATATCTATAAGTTGATATATAATAAAACATTAATTAAACAAATTTATTGATGATAGACTTTCTCTAATTACATGTTATATGTATCTTTTGATTTTATGTTACATAATAAAAAACAATTATTTTTAAACGGATTTAACAAGCATAATAATTTTGTCTCTAGTTTTGAGACGCTTGGCTTTATATATATATATACACACATATATGTGTATATATATATATGTCTTATTTAAACTATGTATGCATTCCTATTATAATAATTTATCCATGCATCAGTTTGTTCTCAAGCTTTGTGAGGATAGAGGCGAACAGGAAGACCCTTGGCGGGGATGGGCATTGGGTCCACCACGATCTTCTCGTCCGGATGTATTTTCTCCCATTTGAACCTCTTCACCAAATTGTGCATGAAAACCAGGATTTCCAGACGGGCATACTCCTTACCTGGGCACATCCTGGGGCCACCTCCAAATGGAACGAATGTGTAAGGAGCAGGTCCATTTCCTTCAAATCTAGCCGGGTCGAGTTTTTCCGGTTCTGGAAAGTATTCTGGGTTCTTGTGGGTTGAGTTTGCACTCCAATACAACTGCATGCACGAGAAAAACAAAAGCAATTTTAAAAAAAAATCTATGTCCTCTTTTCTATGATTTCAGTGAGAGTGCTCCGAACTGCCAAAAAAATGGATATTCAACGGGCATGTTCATATTTAAAATTAGTTCTATACAATTTATCACAATTAGCTGCACTGTACAAAACATTCATGTTTGATTAAAATTATATATGTAAATGTACTCAGTCCTTGATGATAATGAGCTAACAAAATTCATAAATTTACTTGAGTTGAATTTGAATTTGCAACGATAAAATCTTAGCTCGACTCTTGTTTTATAGCAATTACTTAATTAACGTAAGAGACTGACCTTCCAGCCCTTTGGAATGGAGAAGCCATTGAAAATGAAATCAGTGATGGCTTCTCTAAAGGCACCTTGAAGTGGTGGGGCAAGTCTCATAACTTCACAAGCAACGTTCCAAGAGTATCTCATCTTCTGAATGTCGTCCCAATTCAACAGCTCTCCTGGGGCCTTTGATTTCGCAATTTCTACTTGTTCTGCATTACATAAATATTATTTAAAGAATTAAAAAAATGTTTTACAATTTGAATTAATTTGGATTATAAAATATTAATTATTTAATAAAAATTGAATCCCTTAATATTAAAGAACTCTTTGTTCAGATAATTTTTATTTTATTTTACAACCTAATAAATTTAGATTATAAAATAAAATTCTCTTAAAATTTTTCTATATAAAAAAGTATTATTTAAAAAACCAATAAGTAAATGACCTTTCCACAACAATTAATTTTGGGGGCTTGATGGCGCTGCCGTGGTCACCGTCGACCAAAATTCTCGTTGAGACAACACAAATTAATTATTTTTAATAATTAAATTAAATTAAATTAATATTTTTAAATACAATATCAATCAATTTGAGTGGCCTTAATAAAATTTTGTGTGCCTATAATCATACCTGATTTAGTTTTACTCTCTCTTAAAATAACTTTTTTTAATATTTTCTTTAAATTAAAAATTCAAGGATAAATTTATATGTTTGCATTTATTAATTTTTAAAAAATAAAAATAAAGAAACAATTTGTGATAAGATGAATAATTAAATAAATAGATAATTATAAAAAAATAAAAAATATTTATCTTTCTTAAAAAATTAGGAAAAAACAGTTATAATTTGGATCAAATTTTAAAATTAAAACGAGATAGTTATTTAAGGAAAAATGTAAATCGTAAAACAAAACAAAGGGAACAAGAGACAACATTAATTAATTAAAAGATTTTTAAATTTAAGAACACATGTTATAGGGTACACTTTTTTAAGTGTATTTTATATTTTTTAAAGGAAAATGATTTTATATATTAAACATAAAGATACTAACATAATTAGCATGGAAAATGATTCAATCACATATATATAGTGTTAATTACAGTAACCTTAGGAACAAGATATATATAAAATTCTTTTTTTTTTTTTAATTTAAATACGTAAATACTAGTAGTAAGTAGTGTGATTTTTTGTATGGAGAAAGGAAAACTCATTGTATTGGATCATGCAAGCTGTGTTTAGGAGATCCTGTTGCGCAAGTACTGCGCTACCTATCACTTGCAACTGGGTAGAGAAAAAAAAAATTTTTCCTTTAACGAGGGGTAATTGGAATGGTTTACCATAAAAATTGGGTTAATGCTGCTTATATAAAGATACATTGAAAGAAGACAAGTACTACGTGCACTTAGGGTGGACAAAGTGCATAAACACTCATATCGTCATTGGTTTTCTCCTTACAAAAAAAAAATTGAAATGAAAAAAATTTATACTCTGTCAAATAGAAACCTAACTGCATTTGTGCTAGCTGCAATCACCTAGCACAGCTAGCATTTCTCCTCCAAGAAAAACAAATCATTAATTACACAATATAATCATATGGTTTAGTTTATTTAAACAAATTAATTAATGATTTTTTTAATTTATACCCTTCTATTTAATTTAGGGTAGTAATGTAGAGATAAATTTTTATATAATATTTTTATATAATATTTTTATATATTATTAAATAAATAAATATATTTAATATTATAAATTTTAAATAAATAAAAATTAATATATTATTTAAATGAAACATAAAATTATACTAAAAAATAATAAAAAATTATCTTTCTAAATATTTTCCTTTAATTTATATAAAAAATTATAAAAATTAACTTTATTTTTAAGATTAATATCACATAAAATATATTAGTTGTACAATTAATAAAATCAAATTCAACTTCTATTTTTTCTAACGTCAGAAAATTTCCAAATTAATTATTAGTCCACCGGTAGAGGCTCACTAAAAATTCTTCCTTACGTAGGATTTTTCATTTTTGCCAGAAAAAATTTCCTTAAAACACACAGGAAAATTTTTAATTCAGACATGCATGCTTGTAGTAAATATCAAATTCTAATAGTAGAATATACATAAATTAAGAGAGGTGGAAAGTGATATTGTTTATATACCTCTGTAAACTCCTTCATAGATGTGAGGAAGCTCCGCCAGATACTTGACGATGAAAGTACAGGCGGAACTGGCGGTGTCGTGTCCGCCGACCAACAACCCCAGAATCTTATCGGCGATATCCAACTCATTCATGAACTGCCCATTCTCGTCGCTGGTTAACAACATGTGGGACAGTATATCCTGAGTCGGCGACGCCTTCCCCTCCGTGAGGTCAACCTTCCTCTGCTTGATGATCTTGAGTAGTTCCTTTCGGATGAAATTCGATGCCTTTATGGCTTTGTTGAATGGGGTTCCGGGAAAGTTTACAGGAAGGGAGATAAGCCCGGAGGCCAGAAGGTTGAAAGGGTCGGCGAACTGGGAGACATGGTTGGGATCTTCAACACTGATGAAAATACGGCAGGCGATCCAGAAAGTGTATCGCTTCACCAAAGGGTAGACGACGACTTCGTCTTTGTTTTCCCAGCCGGAAGCAAAGTGTCGTTGAGCGATGGTATCCATGATTCCTATGTAACTCTCCAGGGCCTGGGGTTTCAAGAACTGAGGGAGGAGTTTTCTCATCTTTTTAGATTCTTCTTGTGAGGATGTCTGAGTGGAGGATGGGAATACTTCGTTGACGGCGTCCGGCCACCACGAAGTGACAAGTTTGTTTTCATTGGAAAACAAGAACTTGTTTCCCGCGGGTCCGCAGAAGACGGCAAATGGTCTACCAAGGATGTGTGTCTTAAAGACATTAGAGGAGTAACGGAGCATTCGGTCAAAAATGAATTTCTCGGGGTGACCTTTCCATCCGGTGGAGAGGAACTGGAGGGTCTCGCCGACGATGGGGAGGCCTGGCCTCCCCGGAGGGAGGTTAGGGGTGCTGTAGTCTGACCAATGTTTGTAAAAGAGGATAAAAAGAGAGAGGGTTACGAAGGAGATGAAGAGGAGAAGGTAGAGATGCTCCATGGTGCCTTGAGGTTGTGTGGTGTGAAAATATGGTCGAGGTTATAGGGTTTTATAGCTAAAAAGAATGCCAGTTAGCCAACTACCATTGTAGTTTTTTTTTCTTTTTTCCACGTGGGTTGAATCCGCACTTTTAAACTTATATAAGAGATGATGAACATTAGAGACTATTAAAACTTCTCAACCACCATTACAATTTAATGATTACAACGCTCCTTTGAAAAATATAATGACATCTAAAAGGTCTAAAATTTCAATAATCCCAATTCTCATCCCTTAATTATACGAGTTTAAAAAAATAAAAATAAAAATAAAAATAAGAATGCCAAGTAGAGCCCTAGTATGAGGAACAGGCAGTATCAAAAAGTCAAACAAGGGCAGCTAATTTGCTGGACCAAACAGTGTTAATCGGTAAACATACCAATATATATATATATATTTTTTTGATAAGCCAAAAAAATTTTATTATTATGGGTACAGGGTATCCAAACCCATATACATTTCTTGACATCACTTATATTACCTATCTCAACATTAAATTGTCACCCTTTCAACCAATAGAATGTTATTAATATATATACCGTATGATTTGTAATTAATTAATTTTTGTTTACCTTATAGGTTTTCATTTAGGGAAAAATAAAACTTATGCATGGGTAGTAGTTAGCTGTGTTTAACCCAAATAATAATTAAGAGGCTCTTTTTAGTATGGTTGTGTTTTTATAAATTTTGTATCTCTAAATAAAATTTTATTTATTTGGTTAAAACCCTTTTTTGGTCCCTGAACTATTGTACGGACCCCCGATTTGGTCCCTGAATTAAAAAAATCCCTGATTTGGTCCTTATTGTTTACCATTTTTACCCCGATTTGGTCTTTCCGTTAAAAATTGTGTGACGTGGCCTGTTACTTAACGGTTACCGGATGACATGTCATATACTAATCCACGTGGAAGATAATATAATCAAAAAGTGATGATGTGGAAAAAAAATAATATAAAAAAATATTATAAAAAATAAAACTTAAAATTTTTTTTCTTTTTCCTTTTTTTCTTTTTTCCTTTTTTCTTTCTCCTTCCCCTTTCCCTTTCTCCTTCCCCTTTCCCTTTCTTTCTCCTTCCCCTCGGAACCCAGCAGGTCTGGGTTCCTTCGAACCCACCCAGGCCCTGGGTTCACAAGGAACCCAAGCGTGCTGGGTTTGGTGCGAACCCAGA